ACTGGTCATTTTGGATGCTTAATAAAATGGCTATATTTACATTGTGGACATTGCAAACCCTGGTTCCTATCACCACCACGTTAATGAAATCTAACTTTGTAAGTTTCTCTACAATGAACCATTTCACATCAAACCACTCTGAGTGGCTCAGAGCGACTGTTTACATCTCAATGATTGAACTATGCAGGAATTTCCCCATTAAATCTTAAAGTGGTCATAGCAATTAAGTCACTGGCTGAACTAAAATGCATTTATTGAATTTACTTTAATTTAAAAGTTTAATTAATTCACTCATGAATGTTTTAGAGCATTTTTAAGTTTTTAAGACCCCAAACTTCTTTATAATGCAGAGATGTTCCACGGACGTCACTCGTGCAATTCAAGTAAGTGACTTTGGCCAAAAAGTCAGCTTAATGGATAATCGTAATGTATACAATACCGTCTGCACAGCAGTCAGTGAGAGCAAACTCACAGAGCTTTTAAGAAGGACAGGCAGATTGCTTTCTTGAGATGTTTAATTCATCCAAACGAGACAGTTCACCTGTCAGGGATGCCTGGGTCGTGATATAATCTCGCTGCCCTTAACCTGGCACAGGAAATAATCCCGTCAGTCACTTAATCCATTTTTACTGCTGCTTTAAGGTGCAATTCAACACAATGACTTCAATGAAACAAGCGTACAGCAAAAAAACAGGTTTGATTATATCATCTCTCATAGTCAGCTTTCTAGAAAGTGTCTGTGTTCTATATTAAGGGCACAAAACTCCATGCTTTGTGGTTCAAAGACCGGATATAAACAGTGACCACACATCAGCACTGTCCATACCTAACCAATAGGCTGTCTATTTTGACAACAAGGTCTTTAACATTAACTGCTTCGATCCAATCCCAGCCGAGTGCAATGCGGACATTTACCCGCACGCACCATTCTCACTCAAATCATGAACACAATCAATTAACAATAGACCCTGTCTACATTACAAGCTCCAATTTCTGTCTGTTAGCATTCATGCCTTTCTACCATCTCCTTTATTCCCAGGCTCTCTTTCTCCCATTACCTTCCTCTGTCCCCCTCTCTCCTTCTCCTTTTCTCCTTCTCTTAATGCACAGTAATTCAATAGCATTGTGAAGTGAGCAACATGCAGTTACGCAGTTCTTCAGTCTTTACTGACGTGCTGTCCACCAGTTTCTTTAACTAAACCAGAATAAGTTACTGTTCCATGTCAAAAGCATAAAGAGCATAAAGTGAATTATCTTCTCTTCCCTCCTGACTTTACTAGTCTTTTTTATTGCTATTCTGTTTCTATAGCTTTCTACACTGTTAGAAATAAAGGTTCTGTGCAGGTACACTTTTCAAGATGCAAACAATGCAAATGTTCCTTCAAAGGTACAACAGTGGTTTTGAGGTCCAATTGTAAATCTTAAATAAGTTTTTTTCAGGTGAAAAGTTTGTATTTGTACCTTTTCATAACTTAATGTTTTAAAACAGAACAGTAAAATAAAAAGCGTGGAGATGAGATGGGGTGTTTGGAGTCAATACAACTTAGAAAATATAATTTCAATGGATTATGGTACAACTGTGTTCCCTGGTACTGAGATGTACCCTTAAAGGTACTGCCTCAGTGAAAAGAGGGGTACTGCCCCGGTGACAGTTTTATACCTTTTTTTATGAGAGGGTATTATAAAGTTCCTGTAATCAGTACTACTCTCCTTCCATTAACCCACTGAACCCTAAGCTTAATATTCATTCATTCAGTAACTATTACTATTATGAAACTAATATGTTTGTTATTATGAGAGTAAAGTTCAGCCAAATGTATGTGTTTAGAGTTGAACGGGTTTATTATATAAGAGAAAGAAAAACATCATTTGTGCCCATTATTTAAAAGCCAGTGTGAGTTGAGAATCATAACGCACTTTCATTTCATACTGTGACATACAGTTAGAACAACCCTGGTCAAATGACGTTTTGCTGAGTGAAAATAAGTTAACACATCCTCTACAGAGGACACACTTAAATTTGTAATTTTTCTGAATTTTTTACATTTGAAATGTTTCTAATTATTTGATGAGTTTAAAGTTGGAAAACATAAAATATAAAATGTTGCATAACTTTTGCACAGGACAAATTTCTCCCCCCAATATGTTAAATTCAGTGAATAAACAGTAATTATGCATTACAATGGGCAGGAGGGGGTTCTCTGTACAGGATGTTTTAACTTATTTTCTCTTAGAAAATTAAAAAAAAATAAAAAGACGTAATTTGACCTCATTAACTCTTATTAGCACTTCAATTACATTTCTTTTTTACAGTAATTAGTGCACAATTCATAGTTTCTGAATAATAAGCATGCAGTTTAAGTGGAAGTGTGTTCTCTGTAGAGGATGTGTTTACTTATTTTCACTTAGAAAGTCAACAAAACATGTCATTCGTTCAGGGGTGCCCAAACTTTGTATAGGACTGTATTTAGGAATTAAACTCAGTATCAGGGAGGGTCTCTGAGCTAGCATTTATCATGTTCTCTTGATGATAAATGGGGGTGGTTTGAGGGGGCAGGTGAAACATAACATTACTAGTTAATATTATTGTTTCCTGCCTGCTGGTGCACGGTGATGTAATCAAAACTCAGAAGACGTTTTAGAGGCGGGCAAGTCACAACAATTCAATCAAAGATTACAGGAATACTAGAATTTGATCATGTTTAATAAAACCAGGATCATGAAGAACAATGTGAAAAAGGTTCATTTTAATTCCATGTTGACTGTACTAAAGCATTATAGATTAGTGACAAAAGTGTTGTGATACAGTGGTAAGAGGTGTTACGAGGTTTACCAGTTAAAACTGAATGTGTGCAGATTTTGTGCAGGTTATTATGTGCTATGCTGCAGTGTTTTGATGTTGCTTCAGCGCTGACTGAAGGACCTCAACATATCCCACCTTCCTTACATGCAGATGACTGTGCTGTGCTTAATGAGCAGACCAGAGTCAAGGTCAATAGCAATAATTAGTGATTAGTACTAATTAGTAACAACATTGTTGCTAATTAATGAAAATCTCAGTCATTAACCCTGGCATGCTTTGTGTGCACAATTAAGCACATAAGCACATACACACAAAGTGCATATTCAAAGTAGTTCACTCACCGTATAGTTTTATAGATAAAACAATTTTTAATATACTGCAACATGTTATAGAAAGCAAAAAGGAAGGAAACTATATAGTAGGGCCTGTCCGATATATTTTTAGGCAATAAAATGATATGATATTAAGTGTCCACCCATTTTTCCAAATCAGTGTCTTACTGATGAAGCACTTTTAACGTATTATTCCCCCTTACCCCAAAAATTGTAGATTAGCCAAGACATGTTTCCTTCTTTAGTTTTGCTCTGGAGCCACAAGGCTAATGTAGCTAACAAGTAATGGATGTTTGCAGCTCCAGTGCAAAACGAATGAAGCAAATTTCAGACACCGAACATGTCTTGGCTGATTGGTTATGTTAGTAGTAAAGGGGATTATTGTGTAAATTTGTGAAGGTTAAGTTATAAGGTTATTTTTAAGAGATTTTTTTTATATTTTTATTATTTTAGTCAATTTTAGACTATTTTAGTTTCTGCTGCTTGGGTTTAAAAATGACTGTAATAACTTTGACAATTGAGAAATATTTGACAGCAAACAGTCATATCAGAGAGTACTGCTTAATATATTAACTTATGTTGGACCACCCAGCAGGTCAGCCAGCAGGAGTTGTTCTCTCTTACTGAGTAACTGACTGACTGAGTGACTGACTGATCTGTCCATGGTTGTCAGCCATTGTTTCATGCAAAACAATGGTGGCTAAGGCATATGAGCAGTACTATCTGAGAGTTTCCTTGATCTTTCAGATCTTGCCTTGGCGTCCACAGTTCTCCTTACCTGCCATTTCCTAATGACATTTGGGACAAGTGCATTCTGGAAGTGCTTTGCTATCTTGATGTCTTCTCCTGTTTTGTAGGTATTTTGATTTGTTTTTAGATGCTGACATTTCTTAATTCTAATAAGTCAATTAAGGCCTAATAAGTTAATTCAGACCTGAGATTTTACAACTTTACAACTAGGAGAGTGTTTTGCAGAAAGATGTTTTTTAAACTGTATGATTGAAAAAATCAACAGGAATTTAATAATAATAATAATAGTAATAAAAAAGCAACACTTAATAAAGTGCCCACACTTTTGCACCTGTAAGAAAAAAAAAATAATAATAACTATAAAAGTGCATTGTAGTGACTGCACAGCTTTAGCTAGCTAAGATGTTGGTATGCAGTTGCAATGGTATCCCAGGTGGTTGCTAGGCTCTTGCAAGGCTGTTGCTATGGTCTCACAGATAGTTGCTAAGATGATGCTTGGCGCTTTCTATGATATTCCAGATGTTTGCTAGGTGTTGGTAGGTGGTTGCTTTGGTATCCCAGGTGGTTGTTAGGTGGTTGCTAGGTGGCTGCTGGTGGTTGGTATATCTTACGTAATTAATTGGCTATTTCTTATAAGCTTCTATCATTATGATATAAGCTGCGTGTACAAACGTTTGCCCCCATTCTTTCATATGGGGAAAAAAATCGTCATTTAGGGTTACATACAGTGTAGCTTTCACAAAACTAGCTGGTCCAGCTGTTGTTTGCACAGCAGAACAGAAAACAAGTTGCACAGGCCACATTTTATATGTGCATAATACTAGGCTACACTGTATCCACTTCACTGATGCAGCAACTCCTCACCTCACCTGGCCTGAAGGTCACTCAGAGTACAAAGCGTCAGACCACCACCTGCACCTCCTTTCTTAAAGGTGAGGTGAAGAAAGACAGAGCAAAGGAGAGTAAAAGATAAGGAAAGTGAGAAGGAGGTATCTGATGGATACAATGTCACCAGAGAGAAGTAAAGGGCTTAAGGAACGGATACCGTATCCTTCAGTCTCTCTGCCCAGCGGGATAAAACACACGCACCTGCACGGACAGAACGAGATGGAGACAGAGAGAGAGAGACAGAGAGGCTGAGAGAATGGCAGCAGACTGAGGAGAAGAGCGGTAAATAGACCAATGTTAGAGAGCCATTGCAGAGTGGGAAACAGAAACATGGCAAAGGAAAATACAGAGTGTTAATTTATTTCTATTTTTTCTTTGAAAGAGGTCAGGACAGCAGAAGAAGGCAAGAGCATTTGTGAGGGAACAATAAATGATGAATGATTTAGATTTTGAAGTCTGATTAGTGCACAGCAGCAGACTTACTTAAATTAATCACGTTTATCTAAAGGAATCCAGCAGCAATTCTGCTGAAGAAACTTCAGATAGGAACGCAGAGGGAGGGGTAAGACAGGTGTTAGCTTACAGGGAGAGAGAGATAGAGATAGAGAGAGAGAGAGGAAGAGAGAGAGAGTGAGCGTATGAGAGGACGAGCGAGAGCGTCAGATAGTTACAGTGATGTTCATGATCATTCGAGAGGGATCAGCAGCAGGGGGAGGCAGTGCTGCCGGAATGAGCGCTCCACCGGAGAGGACCGCAAAACAGGTGTGTGTATGTGTGTGTACACTCTATAGGTGTGTGTGAGAGGCTTATACATCTTTACTGCGTTCTGTGATATAGTCACATTTTACTAATTTTGCCAAATGTCTTTTATCTAACCTTTTTTTTATATAAACCACTTAAAGAGTGGAAAGCATTTTAATTCCTCACCTTCACATTTTTATGATTTCGCATTGTTGTCCAGTTTCTGTCAGTTGTGTTTTTTGTTGCCTGATGTTTTGAGTGGGACATCTGGGAGACACTTGATAGGTACATTGATAAATGTTATATACTAATGTTCATATTAATATTGAACATTTACAAATTAAAATAGCCCCCCTGGAATGGAGGTAGAGGGGGTGGGGGAGGGTGGACTAGGGTGGAGAGACCAGAATGGTCTAGGATTTTACTGCTGTCAGAACAAAACCTTGTATCTCCAAAATGGTAACTTTACAAGAGAAGGAAAAAAACATACTTTACTTTTAATGTAAATCAATGGAACCAGACTTTTTTCCAAGTCATTTTGGGTCATTCTTTTGGTCCATTCATCATAAAATTTACACACAATGTAAAGGGCAACTTTAAAAAAGTTTAAAACTTTGAAAAAGCATTTTGAAATTATGTCAAAAACAAATAGAGATAAAAGGTTTTGTTCCGACAGCAGCGATATATATATTTCTAAATGAAAATAAATTAACACATCCTGTACAGAGAACACACTGAAATATGTCATTTGATTCTACACAATTTAGTGCACAATATGTTTGCTTGTTGAGTTTATTACATTGAAAACAAAATATGCGCCATAACTTTCAACAGGCCACATTTTATGTTTTATTTTTCCCCCAAAGTGTTCCGTTCAGCAAATAAACAATAAATTAACCGTTAACCTATTTTCACTTAGAAAATCAAAAAACATGTAATTTGACCTCATTAACTCTGATTATTACTTAAATTACCTACGTTTTTACAGTAATTAATTACTACACTATTCATAGTTTCTGAATAATAAGCACACTTTAAGCGGTTAATTATTAAAAGTCCTTTAGTTGCAGACCAGTTCATTGTGGTCTGACATACACAAAGAAACAGATTTCTTATTATGCATGAAAAAAACTGAGTAAAAACATACAGAGATGCCAAAATTCACTCAATTATATGTAAATATATGAAATACTGCTGCATGTTTTAGCATTTTTGCTGCTAGCATGATTTTGCCTCCAGTGTATGGTAATATACGAAGAGGCCACATGACTAAAAGAGGTGATAGAACTCTGAAAACATGGGCGCTAGATATCTGCGTGGCTTCTGCTATGAGGCCTCTCCACCCTGCCAACCATTCAACCGTTCAACCCCAGTTTCTGCATTTGACTAGGGACTGCACTTTCAATCAGATGTTATTTATCAGTTTCTTGTATATATTGAGACTTTAGTTCATTTGCAAACAAGCTGGTGTTTTGAGCTGCTTTAAGTCAATAGTGAGAGCAGCAAGCCAATCTGACACTATTCAGTGTGACTTGAGTTGTAGCATTACAGGAGGCTCATGTACTACCAGAGCTTGGGTTCTACCAACATTAGGCAGGCCTGCTCATGTTGTGTCAATACTGAGCACTCGAGTTCTAGCCGTACCCAAAACTCCTAGACTATCAGTTCCAAGTGCTCATGTTGTTTTAATAGAATGAGCTTGATTTCAACGAGAAAGGCTCATGTTTTGCCACTACTGAGTGTCCATGTTGTGCCAATACTGACAGATTTAGTTCTACCTTGTATTCTGCCAATCCCAGGAGCATTACTGCTATTAGTTTTATTGCTACTGTTATTATTATTACAGGGCCTGCTAAAGTTAGTCCTCACACCATGTTCTACCAATACTGAGAGTACATTTATTACCAAGATGAGTTTGCATATCTGTTTTCCATTTTTTATCATAATTTGAGAAGATCAGATTGTGTGTAAATTTCACAATATATGGATCAATAGAGATTCTCCAAAACTGCTTGAAATAAAATCTCTTTACATTAACTTACATTAAAAGTAAAGAACATTTTTGCCTTTTCCTGTAGTTACCATTTTGGAGATACATTGTTTTGGACAGGGATGATATGCAAAGTGTGAAAATCGCTGTTCCATACACTGTAAACAACTGCTGTTATTTCAATGTTAATGTTAATTATGTTTTCTTGAATGAAAGTATGTTACTGTATTTTGCTATGAAATTTGGGAGCTGATGTCCATTCTTAACATTTCACTATATTTTACAGTAAGTTTCCTTAAAAACGTAACTGCCCTGGAATTGCCAGAAATCTCTACAGCAGTATAAAGGAAAAATTACAGGCATTTTTTTCAAATTCTACACCATTTTTTGAAATTAAGATTTAGAGCCTACATAAAGATACACATAATAGAAAAGTGAGATAATTAGCATGAAGTAGATGAGGTTTTGATCTATAGAGCAGTGGAGTCAGTGAATCAGCAGGATGTTGTCGTAGGTAGTTCTATACTTATTCTATACTTGTCCCCACAGGTTGAGCCAGTATAACCAGGCCTCTCTGGGTTTTGGGTTTTATGCCTGTTCATCTTTACAGTAAAGCAATTGCTATAAGTTGTTGTCATTTTAACTATATGTCTAGCTTACTGTAGTTTTACACTTTCTGTACTCTTTAGCTGTGAAAACAATTAGGCTGAGTCTAAACCCATGGTCTGAATACTAAGGGGACCCTACAGCTTGTTGCTAAGGGTACTTTGTATTAATATATGGATGTTTACTTCCAGAAGTGACCGAAAAATCTTAGAAATAAAAAGAAAACGGTTGTGCTTGGACGGTTTTATATCTATTAAAAGCAGATTCTACTAAATCTAACCAGAAATCTAACCCATTAAACTTCAACACCAACCCTAACTCTAATCCCAAACCTAATCTTTACCTTAACACTGTTGCTAATCAACAGAGATTCACCAGATAGACTGCTAACAATGAAAGCATCTGTAGATGAGCCATAGGGGACTTTTAAAATGTAGTGTGACTAACAGTATTTTACCAAAAAGGTAAAATCAGTTGTTACATACAGCAGTATGTAACAACTGATACGTAGAAGGAGGAGAAAGATGGAGAAATGGCACTGGACGCTGCTATTGAATGCTACTTTAGCTCACAAGCAGTGCTAGCTAGCTAGCTAGCTTTCCCATAACAAACAGAAGGAGATTTGTGTTGTAGCTTTACCAAATTCATGAACTAACTGAATATTCTATTTCATTCAATGCTGTGGATGACATATGCTATGTGCTATGCTATGCTATATGTGACGCCTCCACTGTGCCAAAATGTGGCAGTACTGAGGACTGACAATACTAAAGAGATGTTCACCCTGATAGCAAGAGGCTAGTGGACCACTGTCGGGCCACTGATAGCAAAGTTGGCGGTCCACTGGTGTTTTGCTCAGCGTTTTCTGGGCGGCCCTTCCTTTAGTTATACTTGGTAAATTAGTTTAGTAAATAATTTTAATCCACCACAGTGTCAGCAAAAATCTTTTTCTATAAAATTAGACCTAGTAATTATATTTTTTCTCTCAGTTGTTTGTAATATTTGTCTTAGCATATTTTCAAAAATAAAAGTCTGTGTGCATTTGAAATCTGCTTGAGAAGATTAAAAACTAGTTAGAGCTTGTACGCAGGACAGGTGGTCTGGGTGGTCTGAGGGTGGACCAGCAGTGGCAAATAGTCAGCGGGGTGCCGACCTTATTAAGCTAGTCGTCCGATATATGCTTGCTCTCTGGGTGGTGACTGCTGAGTGTTCAGCATAAAGAATATGAAAAAGAATTACATATTTGTGTACAATTCCAGCAGACGTCACCAAAGGATCAGCGACTGCCTTAAAACAGATCAGGTGTTTTTGAACGTGGGTAAAGGTTGTGGTAACTCTGCTCCTCATAGTGATGGCTAAACAGCCCTCTGCTTCCTGATGCTGATAGGTTCAGGCTGCCATCAAGAAAAAGGTGGAGAAGCAGAGGAGGCAGCTTGAAATGGGTGTAGTGGAGGCATTCAGCAGCAGCGCTAAGCCTAAAAGACGACAGAGACAGAATCAGACTGCACCACCTGAACGAAGGGGGGATGAGGATGAGGAGGAAGACGAAGACGCCGCAAATGAGACTGAGGAACAGCGAGAGAAAGAGGACGTTGACCTAGTGCCCATTGTGGACTCAGTTTTTGGTCAAGTAAGAACGCATAATGTTCACATCCACACAAACAAAAAAGAGGACACTGTATGTCCAAAAGTTTGTGGACAAATGCTCATCATGCTTTTCTTCTGAAATCGAGGGTATTAGTAGGGAGTTTGTTCCCCCTTTGCTGCAGTAAAAGCCTCTACTCTTCTGGGAAGGCTTTACTCTAGGTGTTGGAACATTGCTATGAGGATTTGATTGCATCCAGCCACAAGAGCATTAGTGAGGTCAGGTACTGATGTTGGATGATTAGTTCTGGATCACAAACTGCACGCCAACTCAACTCAAAGGTAGAGAACACAGTGTCCCATTCTATTGGCAATGCTTCTCTATGGAGATTATACAAGTTGTGCACAATTGTGTTGGCAATGGGAGCATCTTAAAGTAGCTGACTTTACTGATAAGAAGGGGATATCTGGATACTTTTGGACATACAGTGTACAGTCATATACAACAGTGTGGGCACCCCTGATAAATTACATGTTTTGTTGATTTTCTAAGTGAAAATCTCTACAGACAAAAGACTGCTGCACATTTTAATGCACGATTACTGTTTATTTGCTGGATTTAACTTATTGGAAAAAATAAAGCATGAAATGTGGATGCTGTATTTTATATGATAAACTCATTAAATACCTTTTGCACTAAAATTTGCAGAAATATTTATTGTATTTGAAATACTACTTTAATTCATTTTTTTCTCGTTAGAGGGGATGTTAACTTATTTTCAATTAGAAAATTAACAAAACATGTAATTTGACCAGGGAGTCTTCAAACTTTTACAAACTGCATATTGTTTTATTGTTTATATTCCACTGTTGTGTAAATAGTTCCTCCAGTCACATTTGGGTTTTTGGTAAATGCAACCAAATTACTTCCAAACAAGTCGTAACAGAAGCATGGCATTGTGCATCACCTTCAATCCTGATTAGATGGAATCACAGATGTGCTGTGCACCTGGCCTCAAACCTTGAGTCTTTTTTCTAGCTTCCCCTACGGTCAGGAGACTGACTCCTTCCTGTACTGCATTATTTAGCACATCTTTAGATCCTATAGCTCATATATGTCTCCTGACGTAGACTTAATTTACATACACATGCATATTGATGTGTAGCGTGCCTACAGATCTGGTCAAACACAAACAGGGCTTGATGTTCAGGCTAGTCATTAACTGAATAGCGTAAGTGGCTTTCAATCAACCATCGCACAATGAAGAACTAAAGCATAGCAATCAAGGTCAAAAGCTGCGTAGGTTAGCTATCAAGCTCATGTTCAGTATATCAGTGACCTATGTGTAATGTTTCGTCATGGTGATTAGGTAACAGCAACCAATACGCCCACAACCTACTCTCATATTTCACCCCTCAAAACACTTAGCAATCGAGATGTGACCTGTGTTTGTTATTTGTTTGTTTTTTTGAATATTTCTGTACTCTTGGCTAAAATAGCATCTTTTGCTTGAAAGTAAAGGCATTAGTGATCAGAATGAATGGCCTGAATGGCTTACATCTCCCCTTACACAAAAGCTGGCCCAACTTTCCTCTTGTTCACATAGATTAAGTGATTCCCTTGAGAAACAGTAACGTGTAGCAACAAAGCAGTTCATGTTTGGCCCTGACTTGACATACTAGAGTACAAAACCTGAAGGTCAGATCCTAGTTCACGTCTGCTTCCTACTCAGAATGATGAGTGACTATCCGAGGGTCCACATCTTAGATTTTTTGTGTATTTTATTTTATTTTTTAGGCCCTGAGGTCTATTATTCACTCATTTGTATGGGTTCATTTACACAAAATCTCTTTGTCCCTTAGAATTAAACAGGTGTTTTTTGTTACTGTGGTTTGTTCTGTTAGCTGTCTTGTACTGTACACTGTAAAAAGTGTCTCGTCAGATCTACTTAAAAAAATGACTTCATGTGGTAACAAGTTTTAGTTTTATTCAACTCACTTTTATGGAAAGAAACGTTCAAGTATTTATTTAGGTTGAATAAAACTAGTTCATTTACTTGTTACCACAAGAAGGGATTTTTTAAGTGGATCTGATGAGCCACTTTTTACAGTGTAGCTAATTCAAAAAAGCAGGCCAAACGGAAAGTCCATAAGTTCAGTATGAATGGTCAGATATGGGCAGTTTCTGTGACATCACAGAAATGATGAATTCAAAACAGGCTGTTTTCACAGCTTTGTTTCCATGTACGGCCTGTATAGACTGGAAAGTAAACACCCAACTCCTTTACTTCATAAACTAAGGAAAATTCAGTTTTCAGTTGCATATTGTAGTTTATAATCTGAACAATACAAAAATAATGCATGTTCTGTTGTTAAGAACGTCTTATTCATTAAGTTTACCGTTTCCCTCAGAAGCCACTCTTCAGATTTTAACCTGCTGTAGTACTGCGCACGGGTACGAGGTCCACTCATAACATTTATTTAAATATTTGATTAATATTATTTGGACAGGCTAATATCTCTGGAGATCTATGGTGGCAAAAGTAGAAAGTAGTTAAATTCACTTCCAGTCAGGTGGTGAGGTGACTGACTGACATGAGATCAGAGATAAAAGGAGCTGCCCTAACACGGGCAGGCCTGTCCTCTCGCGCTCAGCCAGGCAGCCATGTTTGTCTCATAGTATTATGTTCCTGTGCAAGGATTGTCTTACATGGTGCTGTAATCACTCAATATTGACATTTTATCACCAGTGAGATGGGAAACCCAACCTCAAACAGTCACCTTCCTGGAAGAGGCATGATTATTTAATTGGTTTAGGGACAAGCTACTCCTATTTTTAGCCCTTAGCAACATCAAATTATAGCCTAATCAGAACTGATCCAATCCAATCAATCGAAATGGATTCCTTCAGTGAGGGATGAAAAACACGGTTACCCAATCAATTGAAACAAAATAGCAAGAAAACCTAACTGACTGACGTACTGGCAGGTGATGCCACAGCCCGAATGCCCACATATGCAGGTCAAATATGACTCTGCTTTGCATTTTGGGCTGCCTTTGTCTCACATAAATGCTGAAAATGAACAGATTCAGTCTTCCCAAAGCACTGTACTGGTAAATTGTTGACTGAGAAGGGGAAAACGAGAGAGTATATTAAAATCCTCGCTCTACCATTTAGCAACCCTTGTGCTACTGTCTTGCATCCTAGCTAATGTTATGCTTCACTAAAAGGAGGCATATTGCATTTATATGCGTTTTTGGTGATCAAATTATGTCCAGATTTCACTTGATCGCATAAAAACAAAGTGTAAACTTCCTCAAGATGCATTATGAGCAGATTACAATCAGGCCACTCAAACCACATTTGGAGGTGGTCAGAGATCTTAACAGAGGTCAGATTGTGACCACATTTAACATTTAAGTGTAAACAGAATGTGTTTTCATTATCTGTTTACAATTACATGAGCGGAAATGCATCTGCCGATCTTGATTAGCATGTGAGAGAATAAACAATGAAACAAAATTTGGAAAACATGGAGCTGAAGTCAGCCCAGAACCAAGAGTCTTCATGCACGCTAGGCCAATGAAAGTGTCCAGGTGGAGCTTATCTATTCTTATAGTAACAGGGAAAAGAGTAAACAAAAGTAAAACTAAAACGTTTTGTGCTTTTTATGCAGGAAAAGTCCAATCGGATGTCATCTAGCCACACTGGGGTCGCATTTTAGTGAACAGTGTAAGATAAGATAAGATAAAATAAGATAATCCTTTATTAATCCCACAACGGGGAAATTTGCGGTGTTACAGCAGCACAGAAGACAGAGCAGCAGGAAATATACAAACAATATATAAAATAGAATAAACAATAAAAGTATAAAGATATATATGTATATGTACAAAGATTACAAGAAAAATATACAAAGTATTAAACGGAAGTAGTAAACGGAAAGTAGTAAACGGAATCTGGCCAAAGCTTAACCAGATACAATCTGAACACAAAGCACATGTTAATGCAAGCTGTAAACAGGCTCATAGTGAGCCACTGGAGGCCTGTTCAAGAACTGTATCCAAAACTTCTTATCAGTTGTTGGTTAAGGAAAGAAAATTAAGTACCAGACTGACTAGCTAGTAAATGGGCTTGGTGACTTTGGTTAGAGAAAATGGGAGTGACCACAATGGCTTTTTTAGCAGACATGTCAAACTGGGGACCTTCTGGCCAAAGTGCTGCGGATATTATTGTTTACTCTCACCTAATGCTCTAAATTCAGTTCAAAAAGGCCTTGCTAATTAGTTGAAATAGGTGTGTTTAATGAGGCAGTGTGCTGAAGTCTGCAGAGTTTTGGCCCATGAGGACCAGGGCCTGACACATGAGCTTTACAGTAACAAAGAATGCACCAAAGATTATACTACAGTGCAGTATATGTAATTTAACCCCACAACTCATTAATCACTCTCATAACCACATAAACCACATATTAGTTTCACAGTCAGGGCCATTTCTTGCTGTCCAGTGTGGACACATGCCTCCACCTAAAGTCACTTTGATGCTACTGCACACACATGCTTTGTGAGACCACCCAGTTGCTCATGTGAAGCTGAGGCTCCACCCTTCTGTTCATGCAATCTGATGACAAGCTGTTGCAGGACTGACCTCATCTGAACCAGATATGCCCACACAGCACACAGACCCTCAGATGATCCTCTAACTGTTTGATGCAGCATTTACCTGCACATCATAAAAAGAACAATATTTCATTACATAGAACTTTTAAGTCTAATAGGAGACTCTCAAAGTGCTTTTCACAGGAAATTAACATTGGAAAAGTGAGTTTACAGTAAAAATAACTGTACAGTAGCCACTACTGATTCACCCTGCAGCTCAGTGTTTCCCCAACACTGGTCAGAGAGGCCCACTGGTCTGCACATTTTACTACTTTTTTTTCTGCCAAAAAAACACACCTGATCCAACTAAGCACGCCTGGGTTACCCAGAAGCATCTCAGTACAGAGGTGATTCTTAAATGGTAGATTGAGCATCACAGTGAATGAT